CCCGGACATGCCCGGCTTTTGGGGATTTCCCCCCAGACGGGGATTTGAGCCCCCAAAAGCCGGACATGTCCGGGAAAATCCGGACGTATGGTAACTCTATGTTAGACAAGCATTAACAAAAATGAAACAGTTTAAAACAATGTAAGTAAAATCCCCTTTCAATTACTCTCTGGCAATGTCAGAATTCTACTAGTGCTCTAGCCTTGGGGTTCTCAACCTTTTTCTTTATGAGGCCGCCCCAGGATACTATAAAAACTCCACGGCCCACGTATGCCACAATAACTGGTTTTCTGCATATAAAAACCAGGGCCGGCATTAGGGGGTAGCAACCAGGTCAACTGCCTGGGGCCCCATGCTACAGGGCCCCCCATGAAGCTACATTACTCAGGCTTCGGCTTCAGCCCTAGGTGACGGGGCTCAGGGCCCTGGGCTTCAGCCCTACGTGGTTGGGCTTCAGCTTTCTACCCTAGGCCCCAGCTGGCTCCAGTCCAATGTCTTTCTACCCTGGGCCCCAGTCTAATGCTAGCCCTGCTTGGCAGCCCACCTGAAACCTGCTTGGAGCCCCCCCAGAGGGCTCCAGACCCTGGCTGAGAACCACTGCTCTAGGCCACATAGAATCTTCCAGGCTTGACAAGGCCTGGATTTCTAAGGTAAAAACAATAAAAAATGTATCTTCTGGAAAAAAAATCCCACCTTTCAGCCCTGCTTTGTCCATAATAAAGACACAAACAAGAACACCATCCCAATTTTGTTTTCCTTCACTTGTCACCTCTAACAGTTAAAGAAAACCAGTTTCCTCTAGCTGTATTCATTCCCGAGCTGCTGTTTCCATAGCTGTCTAAGCAAGTGTTTGGGGCTGCCCAGTGTGGCAGTTCTGTTGCTGATTAAATGCATTGAATAGGTGGAACCTACTGACACAAAGTAATCACACAGCATGGGCCATCTATACAGGTGCACAAGGTGGGGAAGGAACAAAAGACTTCTCTCAGTGCACCCCAGCACTGGGGCTGGCCACCAGCTCCCCTGGCATAGGAGGCACCCTAAGGAGGTTGGGGGACACAGGAGAAAAAGATATAGCAATATGCACTCTCCCCATTTGCTTGGGAGCTCCAGCAGGCATTAATGCATAGGGCCTGGCAGTGCTTCCACAGGGGTGTGGTGCAGAGGTAATTCAAATCTGTGGACAAGCCCCAGCTGAGCTCTGCATGGTGAACCATATCTCTTGGACTGAGGGGAAGATGCTGGAGCCTGGTGCATAGAATAGAATTTTGCTGATGTTTTATTTATAGCCATTATTTTTGTGACAGGCTGCTTGGAGCTCAGCTCGCCCAGCTGGAAGTCACTCCAGCTCTGTCTCTTGTAAAGCTGGGATCCCCTAAGGGACAAGTGCAGCCTGCAGAGACCTAAGCAGTGGCCTCTGGCTGAGCGTTCCCTGCAAGTGCAGGCAGTGCACACATCTGAAGGACTCAAACATACCATGGCGGTTCCTCAGTTGAGGCGGATGCTGCTACAAGGCTCAGCAGATCTCAGGGGATGCTCATGGATATGCAAATATGGGGGTGCCCACAGAACTCGGGGCAAATTGCCAGGGAGTTGCTTAGTGCTGTACAGTTGGGGCACCTCTGAGGCACTGGCAGGTCTGTGAGCGTCTTGTGGGTATTTTACACCAGGCAAGACAGGGAACGTTATTGGCATAGAGCAAACAGCCCCGAGCCTTAAGCAGCTGGGCCTGGAAAAAGTAGCCGTAGTTCTGAGCTCTGACCAGGAGAGGCTGCTACTGCCCTGCTTCCCCTCCCAGCTCTCCATCCCTTTGCTGGTGGCTCCACACAGGAGGGGGAGCTAGAGTGGGGCGGCAGCAGCTGCATGCATTCCACCCCCACCGCAGTGTAGCAAGTGTGTGACTTGCTTGGAGACTGAACTGTACTTCCGGGCCCCGGTCACCTGACCAAGGTCAGGGTTACAAAAGGTCAATAGCCCTGTCATGTGGGCGGGGTTGGTGTCTAGGATGCCATCCTGTGCAATGGACAAGGCTGGCTGCAAGTGAAAAGGAAGCGATATAAAGCCTTTTATTATTATGGGGTGTGTGTGCTGGGCACTGTACAAACACATAGACAGAAATAGTCCCTGCTCCAAAGAGCTTGCAATCTAAGACTGTCCTCCTAGGAAGGATATGTCTCCTTGCTGTACTCTGAGCCAGCAGCAAAGAATGTGACCACTGTCACATGGAACTCAAAAGGCAGGGTAAGTGCCTGCTCCCAACTAGTGAACAGGTGATCTCTGTGTTAATTGTTCCTTTTGCTGAGATCACAGTCCCTTGTATTCACTGTATTGCGTGCGTGTGTGTGTGTGTGTGAGAGAGAGAGATTGTGATTTCTGGTTTCTCGGTTACTTGAATATCTACCGAGTAACCCCTGGTAATCCCTTATTTTCATGCCAGGGTTCTATAACTCTTTCACAGTGTGAAGAACATTTTAATAGAGAGGTTGTCACTTCACATCCCTGTTACAACTACAGCATTTGCTCACATTGAAAAGTAACATTAAGAAACTATTTCATGGCTATTTAGCGACTGGAAAAGAGAAGAGCCAGCAGTCTGTGGTCCACCAGCAAGTGTTCTGCAGCCACCAGTGGTTCACAGACTACAGTGTGGGAACTTGTGCTCCATGCCGTCCCTTACGTGCTGCTACCATTTGGCATGATTCAGATATTGGGCTGTCTGTGGGGTTGGGAACAAGTTGGGAAGAGGACTCCCATTAAGAGGGTGCATCATTCATTTATTTTGTCCAGTTAATCTGATTTGTACTTTACCTTTGGTTGATTTGTACTTTCCTTGGTTTCTGTTTCTCTTAGCTTGTTCAAAACATTGTTTAAATGAAAGGTGTTTTTACCACAGTCTCTTGCAGTGACTTTTGTGTCTCTTACTTCCCTGAGTGGTTGTAGACCCCTGGAAGATTAAAAAAAACCATACTACTAGTAGTAGCAAAGGAATGTTCCTGTGTAGCTCAAGTAGACAGGACTTGTGTCTTAGGAGCGGGAAAGTCCTGGGTTCAGTGCCCATTCCTGCAGCTAGGAGCATAGGTGGGGGTCTAAACCCAGGACTGTGTGTCATCCCTGATGCTGGATAAGTCACTTCAACTTGCAGTGCCTCAAGCTTTTAATTCTGTAAAATGGGCATAATTCTGACCTTCTTGGGGGTGAAGTGTTGGGAGGAGTGATTCACTGGTGCCTGTACAGTGATTTATTCTGTTTTAATTATTTAAACATTTATGTTTGTGATTTATTGATTTTATTAATGATTTAGCTGGTGACTAAGGATATGGACAGACAGTTCTCCCTTCTCTGTATTCTCCATTATACGCCTCTTGGTAGAGAATGAATCGCTTCTCTATGGTCCCTGTTACACTTTGCATGGCCTAGCTGGATCCAGAGCTCCTGACCCTTTCCCGGTGTGTTCTGGCGGGTGCTAACAAGCCCATATCCATTCCAGCATTGCACTATCCAGCCCTACCGGGCAATCCTGTGCAGTGAGGCAGTGATTATTGTGTTTCTGCTGAAAAGGGTTTTCTAGAGGAGCCTGATAATAACAGTTCCCCCTCGGCTATCACTTGTGGACAAGAGGAAAAAACAAACTTCAAAAGATAGAAGGAAGACAGAGCAGCACTCTGCAGTGCTCCCCAGAGCAAGCTCATTGGGGTACAGGGGCTCTGCACTGGTTCTGCACATAGAGCATGTTATTAACAATACCTAGCATTTATGTATCACTCTGCATCTTCGGAGCACTTTGCTTATTCTCACCCAGTGTAGCTCAATAGCTCTATCTCTCTATAATAATGGGGAAACTGAGGCACTGAGTGGTGAAGTGACTTGTCCAAGACCAAACAGTGAATCAGTGGCAGAGCTGGGGGTAAAATCCTGGAACTCTGGCTACCTTGAAATCCTGCATTTTGGAAGCAAATTCCTGACATCCAACACCTGCCACTATTACAAGGACATAAGACTAGTCCCCAGGTGAACTCAAAGTCATCATCCTCCCTTCTAGAAAGCAATGTTTGTTGGAAGGGAGTTTAGGAGACTCTCCCGCAGGAAATGATAGTAAAGTTTCACTTTATAAGTAAATTTTGGACAATTGGACAAAACAGGCAGGCAGCACTAACACAGTGACATTTAGGACACTTACTGCAACTCTTAATAGCTTATGTCTAAAAAATAAAACCTACTGTGACTCTGTTTAATGAAACTGTCTATATATGTTATGGCAGCACAGATAGTGAGCTCTTTGGGGCAGGGACCTGGCCTGTATTTTCTGTGCAGCACTTTACAAACCTGAGAGTATTGTAAATACCAGTACTACTGCCTAGAAATAATGTTATTAAAAGTAAGAAGACATCACCCTACTCAGGGTGTATTTGTGGGTGGTGGGGATGACCCACAAAGCCAACACCAGTTTAATCTAAATGATCCCTACGGTTTACTCAGTGGATATCTTTTTATAATAAATTCCATTTAAAAAAAAATCAAAAGAATGTTAAGGTTGCCTGGTTAAGAACACAAAAGTCAGGAAATGCTGAGTTTAACGGTAGCACATGTAATCTTAATTCTCCTTACAATGCATTTCAAGTGTTATTACACTGTAGACCACATCTTACTAGAGTGATTGTGTTTTTGATACCTTCCTTCTATCCAGGATCACACAACATCCCTGTTGCAGCTACAGCAATGGTCGACATTGAAACGTATGATTAGGGAAGCACTTGGTGTATTTTTCGCTGTCTTTGTGAAAGTTAGCAGCTGACAACCAGGAGAAGAGCCGAGCCACGCCACGCCACTCTCTGCACTTCAGCAGCAAGTGCTCCATGGACCACACTGTGAGACCCACTCTGTTACAACACAGCCTTTAATTATGTGATCACGTTTGGCAAGAGCCCAGTCTCATTCACTGCCCAGCATTTGTCGTGTACATTGATCCATCACCAATATCGATGGATTCACTTCAAATCTATATAATGGTAATCGCAATCAGAATGGGGTGTGAATGAAGGCACAGAGCAGCCTGTATGACCCATCTCATTCATTATGTTGACTGCATCATTCAGTGCACGCACTCTGATCTGTTACTAACAAAGTTATTCATTGGAAACATCAGAATGGCATATCGGAAGCATCAGCTTGCCCTTCTGCCAGAGCCATGTCATTGGTACAAGTGTCTTAGCACCTGATGTGCCTCGGGAGCATCTTGGTGTCTCCAATAGCTGAGAAAGTCTATCAGTACCTACTACAACTAGATTAGGAGGCTCAGGGGCACCTCACAGTGTCTTAGGCAGTCTGCAGGGAGGGAACATGAACAAACAAATGTTGCAGTATCATGGTAGCCTCTAATACATCAGGATACAGTAACTTTATCATGCAGAGCAAATATAAATAGCTGGGAATCCTATGAGGGGTATTTGTCAGTTTTCAGGGAGAGTGCAAAACTACATGCATGATCTAAATCCAATAAGCAAGGAAGACGCTTAAAACTAGAGAGCTATAGGAAGTAATGTGGGCTAACAGCTCTGTATCTTGTATTTGTAGCAGTGCTGGGCAGGGCCTTGAATAGTGAGTTACACTATAAATGATTACAATACATAAAAGCCCTTGTTAGAGCACAGCTATTTTTTAACTGCTTACCCAAATAATAACGATGCTGGATAAAGACCGATTTTCCTCTGACAGTTAAATCTCTCTCTGTGGTAGATTATAATGGTTGTAAATATCAGCTCTTGTTAGCCCCATTACAATAGTTTTCATACCAATAATAGTACATCAAGTACTCTCCTGCTTTATAATCCAGCCCCCATGCTGCTCTGATGGAGAGAGACATTTCCCAGTTCTCAGAATATTTGATATCCGTGTGCTTCAGTATATCAGCTATGCAGTCTTTCCTGTCCCTATACACACTGCATTAGCTGGTCAGCTACTGTGTCATAGGATAAATCCTTTGGGTTATATTCTGGCCTGCAATACAAAAGCACTGAGCTCTCAGTAACTTGTATGACAGGTACATGACTATATCTGAGGACAGAATTTGGCCCTCAAAATAAAATAACAGAAATAGGCCCTGGGGAAGAAATGTGGCCTATTGGTTAAAGGAAAGAACTGGGTGTCAAGAATCTTGGCTTTGCTTACTGACTTGTGTAACCATGGACAAATCACAAACTTTCTGAACTTTAGTTACTGTCTCTGGAAAATGGGGATAATAATGATTTCAAGCTTACTTAATACACATTTGAAAAGCACTTTGAGGTCCTCAGCTGGTGGATGCTAAAGATGTGCTGAACATTATAAGAGCAACAGCATGAAAGGACATGTTCCTACTCATCCCAGACAACAGGCCTTGGGTCATAATTAAGAAACCAAAACATCTGTTCAGGAAATGAATAAGCAACCAAAAGAGCATGAATTGGGGGAGAAATTAAGGGGGAAAAAAGCTGAGATGTCAGCTCTGGAGATCACTGTCTTCTCTCCAGAGGGATCCAATACAATTTAATTTTTAGATAATGACCACTTACTCTGTGAGGGTCAGTTTCTAATCATCGGTTTCAATGAATGCAAACGTACTTCTTTGTGTGGTTGTATTATGTGTTTGTACACATAGAGCTAGAAAATGTCAGTTATAAGGGTCACCTGACTTCTGGCTCAAATTGGAATGTAACCATAGGCTAACTGACGAGCCAAGAGCCCTTCTCACATTCAGAAATGTATCTGCTACTGTAAATTTGGGATCTCTATCACACACCTATGTGGCGATTTTTGCAGACCCCAACAGCACTGAAACAACACCAAGAGCAAGCCAGAGAGGTCTGGAGAAGTATTTCAAAATCTCTGCCGATGGGAACTTGACTCACTGTGCAATCAGACTGCAAGTGGCCATGGTCATGGAAGTAAAACAGATGCTTTTGTGCTGGAGCAGCAGCATCCTGTTTATTTAGTGGCACTAGGCAAGCTTCCTCATAATCCAGAAAGTCGACAGTCTTGCAGCAGCAAGGGGAAAGCTGTTTCACAGTGACCAAAACCTACCATAGCTACTCGAAATCCAGAATTTTAAAAAGAATTCATAGGACTTAGAGAGTAGCTGCCAACCTCTGTGCACCTGAAACCTGGATAACTGAGATTTTGCCTCTCCTTTTACAGGATTATGGTAAAATAATTTCCCTTTGTGACCAGTCTGGGTTGTTTTGCTGCAGAGTCAGAAATGAGACAGTGACTTTTAAAGATCTTCCTTCCCACAGGGGTGACGGGTGAAAGAACAGGTCACAGCTTTGTTCTGTTGCAACATGCCTGGAACTGTTGAGAGGGATCTTTTCGTTATAGCAAAATCTTCAAGTCCTTAATGTTTTTCCAGGTTTGCAACCTACCTATGTTGAATAGAAGCAACAGGAATGCCTGGTGACTGTAGCTGTTTTAGTGGATTGGCTTAAAAATGGAAGATGGAAATCAAAAGTTGCCCTTGCAATGGACAGTTCTGCTGAACACACCACAGAACTGTCCATGTGCATCATAAACATTGTATCTCTTCCCTCAAAATCAGCAAATCTGAGACAGCCCCAAGAGCAGAGTATCAGAAATGCATTTACAATAGCAAGCAAGATGATTGATGGGAGAGACCTGGATGATTCATTGACTGGGGTGGAGGTCATTCAACATATTCCTTTATTTGAAACAGCCCATTGTATTTTTGTCACTGTCTATGCTGCAAGTCCACAGTGGAGTACCATTAAGTATTTTTATGAGTGGGATATTTGTGACCAACCAGTTGATTCAATCAGTTAATTTAAGGACACTAGAGATTATACGAAATTGTGCTGTCTACAGGCTGAGATCCCATCCTGGGCTAAAGAGGGTTAAAGGCCAGATAGCCACACTTGCTCTGGGTTTGGTTTTAAAAAGGGGGAACTCCAACAGTGGAAGCTGGGAAAGGAAAGAGTGTAGGCAGGTAGGGACAGTCAGGAACTAGAAGCCTTGCTGAGAGGCAAGGTATGGTCTGAGGACTGTGGCTGGCCAGACTTGGTTGCTGAAGGAAGGCTCAAGCCAGGAAGTTAGTGACTGAACCTGAGCTTTCTTTGTGAGAGGCACAGAGCCTGGTGTAATGGCTGACAATAATGTACAGGGACTCTGTATATTCATAGATTCCAAGACCAGAAGGGACCATTGTGATCATCTAGTCCAGTGGTTCTCAAACTTTTGTACTGGTGACTCCTTTCACATAGCAAGTCTCTGAGTGCAACCCCCCTTATAAATTAAAAACATCTTTTTATATATTTAACACCATTATAAATGCTGGAGGCAAAGTGGGGTTTGGGGTGCAGGCTGACAGCTCGTGACCCCTCCATATAATAACCTCACAACCCCCTGAGGGGTCCTGACCCCCAGTTTGAGAACCCCATATCTAGTCTGACCTCTTGTATATCACAGGTCATAGAACTCCCCTAAATAATTCCCAGAGCAGATCTTTTAAAAAAAAAATCCAATCATTTAAAAATTGTCAGTGATGGAGCATCCACACCCATCCTTGTTCCAGTGGTTAATTACTCTCACCCAGTAGCGTAGCTAGGGGGAGTTCAGGGAAGCAGCTGCTTCCCCTCAGTACATTTTTCAAAAGCGGTGCCTGCCGGGCCGCCGCTGGGGTCCTGCAGGCAAGTTGGGGGGGCAGCACAGTCGGACTCCGGAGGAGCCATTGGGGGGGAGGGGTGCGGCCAGAGGAGCAAAGGGGCCGGCTCCTCGGCCATCGCGCCCCACGCTCAGTGCAGCCCCAACATCGCCACCGCGGCCGCCTCCTGCGGCAACTCAGGGCTTGGTGGCCCCGCGCTCCCCCGCTCGTGGGCAGCTCCCCACTCCCCGGCGGTTTCCTGCCTCTGAGCTGATGAAA